ATTGTAAATTTGATATATTTTCATTGTGTTTAATTTAAGAAGAATCTTAGCAAATGATAGATCCTATAATTCATTTAGAAAGCTGAGATGTGTTCTATCTCTTTTCAGCACCTATGCATGCTTCATCCATATGTATGACTGAGTAATTGCTGTAATCAGTCATCAATGCTTTTGCTAGTTTACTGGATCAAAGCACAAAATCTTCTTGTGATCATAGGGTCAGCACCTCTTCGATGTCTCATCAGGATGACACCACCGTGTCCCATTTGACACAGAAGCCATAACAGCAAATTGTTTTTGTTTGTACAGTAATATCTCGACTTATGCTACCCTGACTTATGCGAACCTGGAGTTACACGATTTTCAAATCTCATCGATTTGTCTTTTGTTTGAGTGCCATGCAACTCTTGATTACTCACTCCCCCACACTATTGTTCAGCTTACATGTTCGGACATGTCGCACAGAATTGACACATAGCTACAATTTATTTTGTGTTATTTATTTCTGTATTTGTTATATCTAGGAAGACTTGAGAGAGACTATGTGGTGATTTCTTGTAACCATGAATAAATCAAAAGATGAGATAAGATTAACAAGAACATTTTTATTAGCTTACATACAACCAACTTGGATTTTACACAAATTGCGAAATTATACCCCGACTTACGCGAATTCAAAATTACGCGGTTATTGCTTGGTCCCACCTATCGTGTAAGTTCGGGATATTACTGTATTCAATTTCATGAGCGGAGGTGGTTGGATTCGGGATGGAAGAGATCTAAGAGACAGTGTGGCAGAAGAAAAGTACTCGGAAACAAGTTAGACAAAATAAATACTCGTTTATTTGATAGAGGATATACATTCTCTATTTAGTGAGAGAACAGAACCTTGACACATTTTGCTATGTGAGAGAGAGAGTTCACATTAGATTGTGTATTGAGATAAATATCTGATGGATCATCCTGTTGAAATGTTTTAACTATGAAAGTTTGTCTTTAGTAGTAGGGTTGTGCGGGCAGTTTGATGACAGGAACAGTTCAGAAATAGGCAATATCCTGGGCCAGAGAATGGGCAGTTTCTGTTATTGGAGTAGGTAATATCTGTAGATGGAGAAGGAGATATAGGGGGCACTGAACTAACTAACCCATTCAAGGCACTGGTGACGACTGTCTCAGCTGGCTACTAGTTGTTATATTAAAATGACAAAATCAGGACAACTGGTCAAAAGGTTGTTGAAAAGCATCAACACTGAGAACTTAAAAGGAAGATATACTCCCAGGTGTGAAAGTTGATAGATATTTGATAGTTATCATACAGTCTGAAAGAAAAGAATCAGACTGGAGTGGGATTCAAACACACATCCTCCGCATACTGTGTAGTGCACTGCCATTATACCACCTGGATCTCTGAGCAATTCCTTACTTCCAGACATATTTAAATCTTGATGGAACATATGGACACACACAGTCTATGTATTTTTTTGTAGACTGTTCTAAATTATTTAATAAATATTAAATTATTATAATTATTAATTTTGATAAGAGATGATGCCTAATGTCTACCTCTAATACCAAATTACTTTTCTAATTTCTATGTTGTTTTCAAAACCTTGTTTTCTGAATATATTGGACTTCGAACTCACATTTGAGTTATAAATAAACACTTGGCTTTATTTCCATCATTTTAGTTGACTAAAATGATCAACTAAAATGATGGAAATAAAGCCAAGTGTTTATTTATAACTCAAATGTGAGTTTGAAGTCCAGTAATTTCTAATTATTAAATAGCCTGATTAATTATGGTGGCCATTTGGTTTAGTATTAATACATTAGGCTTTGGGATGTTTATATATTTTATATACAGTAAAACTTGTCCAAACAGAACATGAATAAAATGGAAATCTGCCTAAATGGAAAATTTTATTTGGAATGGAGTGATTTTTCTGTGTTAAATTCTACTATAAGTAGGAAACTTGTCCAGTGCAGAAATGGGACAGGTTTTGGATACAAAGAATATAACTTAATCCAGATTAAGTAGGAAAATTAAAATTCCACATGTAGAAAAGTAATTAAAATTGTCTCTGGGTATAATTGTCATCACAGAGCATGACAACTGTGTTCTGAGACGGATTTTGAGCTTTGTTAAAGAAACACAGGCCACATGATGAGAACATATTGACATGGGTTCTTTGATAATATTAGTTTTTGTTGGAATTAATCAAGGGTAGAATTGAGAACTTTTAGCAAATTTCAAAAATTGAACAAGTTTTGAGAATTGAGTTCATGAGAACAAACAACAAATGTAATTCATGTAAACTATGAAAATAAGGTAACAGTGCTGCCAATTTTTGCAATAAAATAGCTCTAAATTCTTGCATTCAAATACTCTTATCTTTAGTTAGAATCACTTTGAATTAATTTGGATTAAGCTTAGTATAAAAATTTTTATATATGTAAGCTAATAGTGATTTTATTATAAGGACCTTGAATAAGTTCTCGCTGTTTTTTTGTGAAAATTAACACTTTATTTAAAAAAGTCCTAATAAACATGCCACTGAAAGTATTGTCCATCGCTAGCCACTACTTTCTTTCATCGTTCTGGCAGCATTTGAATTCCACGTCGGAAAAATGACACGTCTTTTGAGGCTATCCAAGAATCAATCCATTTTTTGGCATCTTTATAAGAATGGAAGTGCTGCTCAGCTAGACCATGTGCCAATCAGAACAAGTGATAATCAAAAGGGGTTATGTCTGGTGAATACAATGGGTGGGGTAGGACTTCCCATTTAAGTGTTTCCAAGTATGTTTTCACTGATTGTGCAACGTGTGGTCAAGCATTGTCATGTTGCAAAATCACTTTGTCATGTCTCTGCTCATATAGTGGCCGTTTTTCCTTCAATGCTTGGCTCAAACACACCAATTGTAGTCAATAGTGATCTCCCGTGATGGTTTCGTTTGGTTTGAGCAGCTTGTAATAAACCATACCTAGCTGATCCCACCAAATGCAGAGCAGAAGCTTCGAACCATGGATATTCGGCCTTGCTGACGATGTTGATGCATGACCGGGCTTACCCCACGATTTTCTATGCTTAGGGTTATTGTAGTGTATCCATTTTTCATCGCCTGTCATGATACGATGAAGAAAACCTTTCCTTTTCTGCCGTTGAAGCAGCTGTTCAACAGCAAATGTGAAAAGATGCCGTTTGATGTCTCTCAGCTTCAACTCATACGGCACCCAATGTTCTTGCTTTTGAATTATTCCTAATCCTTTTAAATGTTTTGAAACTGTTGTGTGATCAACTCCTAATGATTCTGCAAGTTCAGCTAGTGTCTGACATGAGTCTTCATGAAGTAATGTCTCTAATTCCTTGTCTTCAAACTTTTTTTGGTGCGCCAGATTGTTCTTTATCTTCAACATCAAAATCATTATTTTTGAAGCATCTAAACCAGCGTTTCTCAACCTCTAACAAATCGTCGCCCCCTTCAATAAAACCGTTACGTAGTATCACCCCCTTTACTCCAAAATTCCGATGCCGAGGGCCAAGGCTAATGCCAAATTCATACTGCATTGAATAGATTAGTCACTAGTATAATGTTATTTGTTTGATTATTGTATGATATAACTAATAAAATATCTAATTATTCTTAATATAATGTTTTATTATATCGCCCAGAAAATTGTTTTTTGCAGCCAAAATATAAATTGTTACTAATCGCCCCCTCAACATGGAAAAACACCCACATGGGGCGATATTGCCCCCATTGAGAAACACTGATCTAAACCAATCTCTGCATGTTGTTTCCGACAGAGCATGGTTGCCATAAGTCAACAAGAATTCTGTGTGCTTCAGCTGCAGATTTTTTTTAAATAAAATACTGCCATAAAATTCCCCACAAATACTCTTTTTTTTTGGCATGAAACTCGACATGTTTAACACAATGAAAAAATAAGTTGTTAACACTTCAGTGAAATGACACATACTGAATTTCAAGATCACTTATTGTACTTTCTTACAGATGCATCACCATCTGAAAATAAACACACGTGGTTCTGGTAACACCATCTGTTAAAAAACAGCGAGAACTTATTCAAGGTCCCTATATAAGAAAAAAAAAGGAATATAACTGTAACATTTATCTGGTGTAATTTATAGATAAAAAGAAAAGAAAAAATTCTAAAACCTACTCAAAACAGAAATCTGCCAAATCAAGAAAAATATTTGTACCATGTGATTCCAGTTTACACAGGTTTTACTATGGGTATGTTCGTAATGTTAAACGAGTTAAATGAGAATAACGTCATCGTTATTCTTATTTTGTTAGACTTTTCAAACGATTCGTGTATAACTAAATGGCTGTTTCTAAAATCAAAGATATGAATGTTACTAATGCAGTCTTATCCAAAATATTTTTCTTAGATTGCTTCAGGTGGACATTTATTTCTATCATTTCATCTTTTAATTCACAGTTTAAACACTCTAGTAGATTTAGAAACATCGATATTGTCGGGCACCATTTTCTTAACAAAGTGAACTAACTCTTTCCTTTGTGAACTTCGTTAGAGTTTCATTTGAAACGTCATCACTGCAGAGCATGCACACTGAGCAAGACTACTACTATTCAAATGATTCGTTACTAACACATTTAACTTGTTTGACTTTACGAACATACCCTATATATAAAAAATATATGACTAAGAAAAGAAGGTCATGGTATGGTCATCACAGATTTCAGTAATATTATTTATGTGGATAAGCTTTGGTATGAACTTTTATTGAGCAAAGGGACAAAGCACAACTTCTCAAATGTTTCTAAGAAAATCAAAGTTAAAAAATTAAGATAAACTTAAAATTAAAGAATATATATTTATATGAAATTGAAAGTTACTGCAAATCTTAAAACCTTATATTAGTTGAAAAATAAATATAAAAACTACAATATTATAACAAGTTTTATGATGAAATGCTTCTTTCAAAAAGTTAACTTATTTTTATATTTAGGATGAAAATGTACAAAGCAGTAAAGAAGAAACTACTACTAAGACTGATGATTTATCATTGGTTTACAAGATGGAAGAAGAAATAAAGGTAAAATTAAAGATAGTAAAGTAACATTTAATGTATTTTGCTACATTTGTAGTGTATGGAATTTCTGTTTTAAATTAAAGTATGTTGAAATTTGTTTTATGATTTTGAATCTCAGAAATAAATGAAAATACTTTTTTAAAATAAAAAATTAAAATTTGTTGAGGTTTAGCATTAGCAAAATCTCTTCTTTGTGGTTTACAGAATTGAGTTTGTTCTCAACATTTAATGGATCAATTTTGATTAAACTTTGTCATTATCCATTAATTGCAATGAGGAATCTAAAAATGTAATATAAAAATGGGAATCCATGACTTTATTTTCAACATACAATGCTGGTCAAAGTGACACTGTCCATGTTCCCTGATGCAATCGAGTATGTCTAACAGAAAAAGTATTTTGTGCACCTAATGGAAAATGGGTGCTAAAAATAAATAAAATGAACGAAACATAAGAACAAAACAATCAATGCCGAGTAGTGATTGCAGATTTATCAGGTATTATATTACCAGTGATTTGGTAATTATATTCAGAATTACCAGTTTATTGATAATTTACCGGTAAGTTCGTATTAACAAATGATTTACAACGAAACTGAATTACTGACAGAATTATTGAACAACCATTTATTTTCAAGTTTTCTATCAATTTAGACAAACATTCTTGTAATAGCAATTATTATGACATAAAAGACATTAAAATAGTGCTGATTATTAATTATGTTTTTCTTTATTTTGAAAGTAGGCTCTTAAAAAACATAATACATTTAGGCTCTTGTTATATAATCTAGATCTAATTTTTGTACAAATGGCAGCTGCATTAGAAAAAGCTCTCTTGGAATCAATACTAGTTGGACATATTGTCATTAGAACATTGAAAACCTTTTAAGATCATTCCTTGTATTTTTTGCTCTAAAAATTAATTCATTTCTTTCTTAACCATATCTTTCACACTTTTAAATTTACTTATATTACTGTTATCAGTATCTGTGCTCATTTTATGCTTAATGAATAAGTCCAATTTCTCTTTCATTGTTAAATTTGACATTTCTGTTGTTCACTTTGTTCTTGTCTCGGCATGAGAAGTTGATGGTGTTGCAAGCAATGAACACCTCTTATCAGAATCTGAGTCTGAACAAATTTCAATGACATCCGGAGGTCTTGATTCATTTTCATTTTCTGACAAGTGCTTGATTATCTCTACAATCCCATTCAAAATTATATTTTTGATAACATTATTGGATATTTTGTGTGACTTATATTTGTTCAATTTTTCTGGGTTATGTAGATACATCAGAATATCAGAGTAAATAGTTTATCTTTCACATGAAACATAATTTCTTTTTTTAGTTTGTTTCACAGAAAGAAATCCCACTTTGTTAGGTCTATCATGAATTGTAACGTTAGATCTTCAATGCAAATTTGTGTTTTTACAACACAATGATTCGACTGCTACTTTTACAGGTTGTAATGACTATATTGTATTAGACAGTAATTCAAGTTCATCTTCAGAAAAGGTTATTATATCTGACAAATATCAATTAGACTTTTTCTGACAAAATTTTGGACTTCTGAAAAACATTCAAGCATTGGTCAGCAACGTGTTTTTGAGCCTAATAGTAGAGATAATTCTTTTCTTAATTCATTTTTAATATGCTTCTGAAGAATATCATTTTTGAGTGGTGATTTTCAAAATGTTTTGACTACATTTTGTACTTTCTTAATTAAAAAATTGAAAGTTTCATCTTGGAAAACATCCCTTTGAAACTTAATGTCATCAGGGCTTTCCTGTATCACTTCAAACTGTCCATCATCAGCAAGGCCAGTCGGTGAGTGGTGCGAATGGTGCGACGGCACAAGGCCCCACAATTCTGCATGATCCAACTCTTGTGAAATTTAAAACTTGATCATTTCATTATTTGCTAAGTTAACTAACTTTCGATAATCTATTTAACAGATTGTATGTTTACTATTAAAATATTATTATGTAGTTTGGAATATGCTATTTTTTTTATTAAAAGGCTCAGCACGACAACCTTACACAAGGCACTGCTATTTCTCGGGCCGGTTCTGATCATTAGATTCATCATCTGAGATTTCAGAATCATCATCATCCAGTTCTCTGAATGTATGGGTTCAGTACTGTTTTCTTTAACATGGCCTTTTTCTGTAAACAACTTTTGCTACTGCTAAGTGTAAGCCATGAGCAATGCACACTTGGCAGTTTACATTGACTAATCTTCACACTTTTTTCATCACTGCAGCTCCATCCGTGACAATTGAAATTAGATTGTTATAATCAACATTGAATTTTTTTAATCTATTTGTTACTTGCATGGAGATTAACATTCATATATCAACGATTGTTAAGTGATGTCCATTCATCACAAGATATACTGAAGGATTCTCCTTGAACTTTTTGCTTTGATATATCTTTAATAATCTCATCCTGAATTTTTTTCTGAATTCAGTGATTATCTTTTTAATTGAATGAGAAGATTTAGAAAGATTCGAATATCCACTTGCAGAGAAAAGTCATCTTAGGTCTTTTGATGTGCAAAATTTGGAGAATGGCAGTTCGTCAACTGAAGCGATATGCGATAATACTGCTGGAAAACACTCATCATTTTCTTTCTTGATAAACATAGTTATTATTATTTTTTTTATTAGATTCATTTTGTGCACTGTTTCCAGTTGTCTCCTCAGATTTTCTTTTCAATAAGTTTATATCATGATGTCGTACGAGGTGATTATGCAGTCCGCTAGAACTTCCTTCAGCTATTTTGTTTTAAAGCACAGTTTGCACACTCCAGCATTTTTTCTATGTGCGATTGAAGTAATCCCATGGCAAAATTTTATTCATTACTACAATAAATGTATAATAAAACAAATTTATTAGGGAAAATGGTATTTTCTATTTTTATTTATCTTTTTATCTATAACTATCTTTATATTTTTATTAATGCATTCTTTCATTTCTGTTTCAATTAATCCCGCAATAAAAATTCCAATATCTGAAATTTACGAAATCTGATCCCCGTGTCAATAAAGCACACTCCAATGAACAAGAAACACACAAAGTTAAAAACAAGCTTCTAGAGTCTTGCACTTAATCCAGTTTAATGACGATGATTGTTCCATTATGACAAACATTGATAATGTTTGTAAAGAAACTGAAAAAATATTACTTACTATGTAAGTCGTGTTTTCAGTAAGCATGTATTTATGAACTATTTTAAATCAAGACTTAGTAAGAAGTTTCCTTTTGCATCTCAGCTATCTTGAATGCAAAAACAACACCCATTTTTGAAGTATAATATAGGGAATCAAGTTATAAACAGACTAGAAAAATTCCTTTTGGTAACCTTAAATTACAAATGGAATGACCCATCACCACCTGCACTTTTTATCACTATGGTATGAGGTGAGAGAAAAGAGAAATCTTCCCATGGGTATTGATTATAGTTCCTTAGTGGTTGCATTTTTGAAGTATAATATAGGGAATCAAGTTATAAACAGACTAGAAAAATTTCTTTTGGTAACCTTAAATTACAAATGGAATGACCCATCACCACCTGCACTGTTTTATCACTATGGAACCACTAACACTAAGTGAATGTAAGGATCATCTGCCCATGCCCAGCAAGCATAAAGCTGGGTACACACATACTGTATACTTGCCAGGTTTAATGGTACATGTGTACAGTACCTGATTTCAAGATTGCCTCTTCTGTACCCAGCAGGTGTAAGGATCACCTCTCCATGACCATCAAGTGTAAAAATTATTTTCTCATGTGACTAGCAACTGTTTTCTTCTGATCACACACATACTCTTTCTCTCTCACTGATACACATCTATATACATGTGCATATCCTTACATACACATTTAAACATGTGTCAGTGCTGAAGTTAAATGGAATGAAAGATAATTTATATATATTAATATTAATTTAAAAATTTTTAATTCCAAAAATGCAATGTTTTGCCTCAATTCTGTCATGATATGACAAAGTCATGCAGTATCCCTACTTTAATATTTCATAACTTCATTTAAGTATGCATAGATTTCTTCTAATATTATATTAATTTCTTATAACTATAGTTGCAATTACAGCTTAAATCTAATAGTTGCATAAAAAGAACTTAAAAATTGATTTTTTTAAAGGTTACAACAATTTAAGCTAACTTTTATAACTGAAAAAATATATCATTATAGATTAAAAAACTTTATACTTTCAGTTTTTCTGAAAATAATCTTGTGAATATTTTTTAAATGGTGGAATGGCTTGATGATCATTACTTTTAATGTTATAAAGCAGTTATGTTAGCATCATATTCATGTATATAGTGTGCATTGAAGACAGAACAAAATGGTGTATAAAATAAGGACAGTTTTCAAAAATTGCATCCAGTTATGTCATTATTTGGTGAAATTTTCATCTTATTTTTAATAAGTTCTTTATTCCAAAATAGATACTAAGGTAAAAATAGTATTTTGTGTTATTTTATTTCTCATTTCTTAACTTTGTAGATGACAGAAAAATTTAACTTTACATCTGGTAACTTCTGCAGCTAATTTTTTCACATTTAAATTTCAAATATATTTTTGAAATTTAAATTTGTTAATTTATTAATAATTACTATTTATAGCAGTTCTTAGAGGTTAGCAGAAATTAAATGACAGAAATCAACTAAATGAAAAGAAAGAAATGAATACTTATGAATTAGCTTTAATTTGCATTTTTTGTCATTTCGTTATCTAATTTTGAATATTACAATAAGAATAAATTTTCAATATTTCTAAAAACATTTGTTAGAAATTAAAAAATGTAAATAGAAAATTATTTTCAATTCAATTCAATTCAATTTATTAAGCGTATAAGGCTTTCGCCTGTTACAAGGGCGATGTTTGTTAATACAACATATTAGTCCAGAATGATTTGTTTAGATACCTTTGAACAAAGCTGTTAACTACTCATTATATATCTTAAAGTTTTTATAACATATATTTACAATATAACAA